AAACCACCAGACAGCCAGCAACCCCGGCGGACAGGCTGGAACCTCCATTCAGACATTTGGGGCACATGGGGGTCTTTATGCCTTCCAAGGACACTGGAGCGCGAAGGCCAGTGCTGCCCCTTCCGGGGGCTTGGGGGGAGGGGGCAAAATAGACTCTCCATGGCCCCAATGCAGGGTGTGATTCAATCTGCCTGTTCCTCCTTCCTGACCCCCCCTCTGAATGAGTGATGGGGACGAGACCACCTATACTGAGTCTGACTGAAGACCAAAACCTTTACAGTCAAGACCACGATTGAGGCTTTGGGGGAGGTGTTGAGACCAAGAGTCAAGAGTTAATTATACTTATTTATTATTATAATCATCCCTGCTAATGATTTAAAGTAAAATTGGATTATTTATGCATGACAAACCTTTAATCTCAAACGTTAGTACATAATCACAAGAGTTCTAGTTTTTATTGGCTATACTAACTGTTTATCTGAGATTGAAAACATAATTAACGCATACTGTAATTGGGGTCCCATGGTCTCTAAGCAGACACACCCCGTCCTTGCAGCAAGGGGGGGGGGGGGGCGGGTCCAGATAATAACATTTGCAGAATCAATTTCACATTTCTATAATATAGGACAAACTGTGTGCTGCATTGGTTCAGTTAGAGACATGGTATTTTAATTTTCAATATGGGACGATACTGTAATATAGGCGACTCTATTAAGAAGAGAACAGTTTTTTTCCCCCTTCAATTTTTTAAAATGTTGTAAACCAGTCAGGATGAAAAACAAAGAAAGATAACTGATTTCTGGTGTGTCTGAGTATGCCTGGTGTTTATTTTTACTACAAGCAGCTCCTGATTGGCCCCAACATGCCAAGCTGATAAAGTAATAAAGCCAACCAATCAAAAACTCATATGAACAGCATAAACACCAAGGTAGTGTTGCACTATGAGACCGTCTCTCTTATAAAAATAAACAAAATCAATATACAGCTAAGACAATGAAGGTGAATAATAAGTGAATTTAGGCTCCCGGACGCAGACTCAGGCTTTTATTCTGCTACGGGAGGCTTAATGGGCGAGTGCCGAGATGCCACCATGAACTGGTAACTGCCAACAGCCCGCCTTGGGCAGGGGGGAATCCGACACACTCCGTTTGCAGCTTTCCGAGCATCAAACTTATGCACATCCAACATCTTGCTATGGAGAAGCCAGAGCAGCCCCTGCCAACTGACATATATCAGAAAGCAAGCTAATCTCACTGGCAAAGGCGGCGCGTGGCCATTCCTGCTCCCAGGTGACGGATGCGTCGTAAAAGCTCTCAGGGACATGCTGTTGGCCCTTTGAAGAATCTCGACGTCATTTGACAAAATACGCTGTAGTTAAAAACAGAAACCATATGTAAATAAGTCAAATGACTAATAAAATGACAGAAATACCCCCCCACCCCCTGTCGTGTATGCCAAACTGCAGATCCTCCTCACACTTCCCTATGCCCCGGCACCTTCCCCGCTGTCTGGTGGGCTTGTTATTTTGGAAATGCTCTGTCCAGCTAAACACCCCAGACCCTGCAGATTGGCCCACAACCCAAACGGTGTGTACATCTGGCCTATCATAAAATATTATTATTAAATATTAACGTACTGCAGCATGACGGCATGAGAGAGGCATATCAGGGGAGGTGAAATGATGAAGCGAGTGGTGTGGTGTCATCGTTACCACCCTAAAGCAGTTTACTGGGTCTCCTGAACGTAACTAAGGCAGGAACATGGCAATCAGCTCCGTGTGCAGCGTTAGAGAGGAGCCTTCTAGTATGAATCCCGCTCCTGTGAATCTTGCTACGAAAACCCATGAGTGGAAGCAGGACCCAGGACCCAGGAGCTCCGTGTCACAGGAAGAGGCCAGATAAAAGCTACTCTCTCTGAGACAGTTCCTGCCACATCCCGGCCGCGGCTAAGGTTCCCATGCTGCATCTGTGGGTAATGGAGCTGCAGTGGGATAGACAGTAGCTGTGACCCACCTGCCTCCCAGGTAACTCCACGTGAATTAAGCTATCTGATTGGGCAGATTTATGGGTCGTACCACCATGTTTAACACCAGGGGGTGTCAAAATGACAAACAGAGGTAATCAGCAAGGAGCTGCATCCACAGAGAGCTGAACCCGATGTTTTCACAGGATTGGCACCTGTGTTGGCCACTTTCCTGTCAGACAAGCTGCTAATTATGCCCTTCTGTTGTGTCAACGCCAGTGGCCGGTGCCTCCCCATTAGCGGGTAGCCAGATCGACGCTCCCAAGATTAAAAGTGGCCGCGGTTCCCAGGGTGCCTCTGGACGGCGTCATTAAGCTGTTGTCAGGCTGAGCCTACAAGCGAGACCGAGATAAAAGCTTGCCTTCGCAAACAGAAACTCATTAGCCAAGACCCCGTTAGAGATTCGCTGACTAATGAGAACTGTGCAATCCCCTCCCCCTCCGGCCTGCTCTACCCCCCCCCCGACCCCCGAGTCGGCCCCCTGGCCCCGTATGTAGCAAACCTCTATATCATACTCTGGGATTACTCTCTGCACACAGATGGGCCCTGGTCTTCGCAGCAAGAATAATTTACCATGAAGGTACATCATTTACCATGGCGATATATTGTTTACCATGGTGATACATAATTTACCATGGCAACATTGTTTGCACAGTTTATTTTGTTTTAAATTTAGTTATCCTTTTCTGTATTCATCCCTTCTGTGATACTGGATGAAGAAAAAAGATCTATCTCATCTCGTCGTATCATGTGCAGTAAATGTGCCCTGTGGCTTTTAAAAAACGGCTGAAACACGCCCAAAATATGATGGAGGGAGAGAGGGAGTGAGAACAGAGCTGATGGTGACGAGTTGGCTGACAGCCATTGGGTTCCGTCCCCGCTGCTCAAACCCGGGGGCCGGGGAAGTAGTGACGAGGACCTATTTTTATTGTCACGCAGACCTACGCAACCGAAAGGTGTCCGGGTTAAAAATGTGCCGGGCCTAATTTTAACTGAACACTTACTCAGCTTGTCAGAGGCAGGCAGAGGCTGCGGAGAGATCTAGGGGGCTGCGGCTTTGCAGGCAGAGATGGAGGACAGNGAGAGATCTAGGGGGCTGCGGCTTTGCAGGCAGAGATGGAGGACAGCACCTCCGCCGCATTCTGCCAGTAAACCCAAGGTTTTTTTCCTCTTTTTGACGGTAGAGGGGATTAGGGCAGAGACTCAACATCCTACCAGTAACATTCAGCATGGAAAACCAGCAAATGGACAGGAGAGGCACAAGGGAAGTTTACATGCCAGTGTGCAGTGTGCAGTGTGCAGTGTGCAGTGTGCCATACAGACTTCCTGTTACTAGGGTCCAAAAATAAGTTGGTTTAATGTCCATCTGTGATGCTGCTAGCGCTGAGCGGCTTGGGGGTTGGAGAGTGTTTGTATGGCTGTTAGTGATGCAGCACTGAACTGACAGGACGCTGCTGCCTTTCTTTGCTGCAGTAACGTCCTTCATTAGTCACTTGCATTACGGGGGTAGCTTGATGTTGTGGCTAACAGTGTCATGACACCCCCCCACCAGGCCTCAGTGTCAAACTGCCCCCTCTCACCTGTCCTCAGTGTCAAACTGCCCCCCCTCACCTGTCCTCAGAGTCAAACTGCCCCCCCAACCTGTCCTCAGTGTCAAACTGCCCCCTCTCACCTGTCCTCAGTGTCAAACTGCCCCCCTCACCTGTCCTCAGTGTCATATTGCCCCCCCTTGCCTGTCCTCAGGGTCATACTGCCCCCAGGTCCTCAGTGTTCTCGAAGCTGCAGCCATGTCAGAGTAACCCAGCGGTGGTTGGCCGCTTATCTGCCAGCCTCCCTATCAGGTTGCCCGGAGCATCGAGATGCAGGCTATGGCCTGACAGGCTACCAGCTGTCTCCAGTACGATGCACCCCCTCCTGACAGGATAGAACGTCCGCACTGAGACACAGCCTTTGCAGGATTCAAATATACCCATGAAGCTCAATCTGGTCAGCATGTTACTGGGGTTTGCTGGGATATATCAATCAATCGAACAGCACATACAATCATTCACCATCCTGAAAGTGGGCTTGTTGGGGCAGCCCATTCTCTCCAATTCCTCCACCCTCTATCCGATCCCCTGTCCTGCCACTTCCTCCACCCTTTGGACACCTTTGCCCCAACCTTTTCCACACACTGCTCCACCCTTCACCCTGTCCTTTGCCCACCCCTTCACTCCACTCTTACTCCGCCACTTTCTACCTATTCCTCCACCCTGCCACTTGCCCCACCCCTCCTCCTTCTTCCTTCACCTTACCTGCTGCTGACAGACGGGGTCTGTCATCCCCTCTTTGCCTCACTGTGGAGGGTCTCACACCTGTTTATCAGTGACCCAACAGGCAGCTAAAGGCTTCATTAGCTCCCATCTCCCCCCGTGTCTCCGCGAGGCATCTGGTGCTTCCTGCCCTCTTTGCAGTGGTGGGACCTGGAAACAACTGCCGCCATGGTGGTCTTAACAGGCAATGGCAGGCCCAACCTTGGCTCCAAGCTAACCGCTTGTAAGGGGGGGCCGAGGCCGAGAAGAGGCCGTGGATCAGAAGCTTGAGCCGCCGGGGGACTGCGACAGCGGGGCTGGCAGAGCTACATCGTGTGCTCGCTAATCTGCCCGGGCAGCCTGCCTGGCACTGCTGGGTCAGCATCTCAGATCGATAAGCAGCGAGAGGCCAGGCAGGCCTGTGGGGTCATATGACCCACTGACAGCAGGACTCCGCCCACAGAGATCCAGCACATTTTCCCAGAGAAATTAAATTTGGCCCAGAATCAATAAGTTCCCTCTTATGGCGAGGAAGTAAGTGAAAGCACTGGGCAGGATTAAAAAAAACCTGTGAAGCTGAGAGTGTGAGATGTGATATTTGCGGCATGTGAGAGGGGTGTGTGTCACCACGGTAATCACAGGAGATGCTGGTGTGATCACTTTCCCTGCTTCTCTCTCCATTCCCAGCTGTTTCTTTCATGAGGTACAGCGCCTCCGCGTTTGGATTCGCTGTGAGTACAGCTGTGTTTAATTACTTAATTTATGTTTCAGGAAGCCTAATTCATAACAGAATTGTTTAAATTGCTTAAGGACTCTCTAACCCAATCGACTGTAACTGAACATTCCTCAAAGTGTATCATTTACATACTCTGCTGTATTTAACAATTTGGCCACATCTTCTGTGTTGTCTTTGTGTGATTTGTGGTTTTATTTTCGTTCCAGTTCGACGCCACACTGGATGTGCTGTCTTCCATCATCGTGCTCTGGCGCTATAGCAATGCCGCTGCCATACACTCTGCCCAGAGGGAGTACATGTGAGTACATACCCCATATCAACAGACTCCGCCCACTGTATGCCCAATTGTCAGCACAGACTCCAGTGCTGGAGGGCCAGAGCCCTCCAGGACTTCATATAACACACCTGATTCAATTCCTTGTGCTAATTACCACAGAGCTCATAAGCTAAATCGTTTGTGGTGGAACTGGGAAAGAGCTAAGCTACACAGGGCTCAGGCTCCCCAGGACTGGAGTTTGACACCCCTGCCTTATATGATCCATACAAATGTGATCACATGCCACGCCCTATAATTGATCTGCCCAATTGGGAGCACAGGCCCCACCCTCCATATCCTCTGCCCAGTTGTGGGCTCAGACACCGCCCTTGTGATTGCTCACCCACATTAATAATGTTTGGGCTGACCAGGCACCTGGAGCAGTGAGCTGGTTTTTGGTCGACTCTGAGCTTCATGGAGGAGGGAAGATTGCCCTAGAAACACCCAGCAACATGTAATTACCAGCTGGTTGGGGGGCTGGGGGGGGACTACCCCCTTCCTATGTCGTGGGGGGGTGGAGGGGGTGCATCCCCAGTGGCCTCTGATTTTCTGAATGCCTCCTTCTGCCAGCGAGGCGTGGCTTGTCAGGATGCACTGCTGTGATAGCGATCACCATGGTGACAGAAAATCCCATCCTCGCCTGTGCTTTGCTCTGGAGGTGAGCGTTTCACCCGCACCTCGTCTGCGTCGCTTGTTCCAGCCTGACGGATCCCCGATAAACACCACAACTGGCCTGCTCTGTTTCCCCCTCCACGTGATATCTAAGATTACCTGCATCTGTAGTCTCAGTGAGAGCAGCAGCCGGTGTGTAGGAACATCATGCCGGTGCAGATTTATTTGGACCTATTGAGATGCTGACAGCGGAACGAAATGCTCCAATCAATCACCTGTCAGATACTGGCCAATGAGATACAGGTGTACAGGAGCAGCGAGGAATGGAGATACTGTTGTGTTTTTCATGTACTGCACAGCTGTCAAAGTATATATGCACAGTGTCTGCAGTAACCTCTCTGTTACTGTGCTCTGGTGCTCATGTTTATCTTCTTTACCTTATGTGATGTTTTAATGTGACTTGTTCAGCATCAGCATTTATAATGCAGTATCTTAGGTACAAGGCAATGCCTACAAAGGCATCACCTGACGTGTCATGAGATTGTCACCCGGGGCGAGTGATGCGGGGTGCAAAAGGTAATAGTGTGGGAAAACGCCCATGTTACTCTGGTAAAATTGGACTCCCAGCACTGTCCCTCATTTGCGATGCTCTGCGGGAGACAAGCTATGGGAGCACTGAGGAGTGAGCGGGACCCATCCGCACAGCGTCCCGCTCCTGGTGGGATCACTCACTGTCTGCCTGGCACAATTACCTGCATTTTGCCCTCTGGGGTTGTTGGCAGGACTAGGTTTTGCCCCGGGGCAGGGGCATTTCTAGCTATTGAAAAGATCAGGGACTAAAATACCAAGGGTTAGGCTTAAAATACTCGGGGCAATAGCCCTGAGTGATCAGACCTATTGACGCCCATGCCCCTGTGGTTGTTTTCAGGTTTAGGTTTTGCCCCTGGGGTTGTTTTCAGGTTTAGGTTTTGCCCCTGGGGTTGTTTTCAGGTTTAGGTTTTGCCCCTGGGGTTGTTGGCGGGTTTAGGTTTTACATGCAGTTACACACCTAGTACGGGGAGCGGCCATTGAGGGATACTGGAGGACTGTCACATGGAAGTCATGAAATTTTATACAGCTTTGTAATGTCAGTCCTCCTTGCGGTGCTCAGTATAAATGACCTTAACAGAACACAGCTATGGTGTGTAGTTCAGTGGGATAGGATGCAGCATCTGTGATCTAATGGTTGCTGGTTCAAATCCCGCCATCAGCAGAGTGATTGTACTGTTGCGTCCCAGAGAACGGCCCTTAACCCCCACTTACTCCAGGGACCGTCTGACCCTGCATTCTCAAAAAATGCATGTTGCTTTGGATAAATGCTTCTGCTAAATAAAATATAAATGGCTATCACCTAGAGTAGGTGGTCTGGTTTCTGCTGGGCTGCATTGTTTATATTGCATGACCTGATGACACGTGCAATGAATGCAAGTGAGAGAAAGTGCTCATTTTGCACTGCGATTCTCCCTCTTGGTCACGATTCCTAATTATCCATGATCAGTCTGAGAGAGAGGCCATCCATTCCGGCCCTGTTCCATGTCCCACTTGGCTCCGGGTGACACGGTTGATATATGATATTCCCACCAGATCCCGTCCCGTGCTGGAGTTCTTTCTCCCAGGCCGGAGTGGGGAAAAGCAGGCCAGCAGTAATCCCATTACTGGATGACAAATGTGCCAGGAGAGCTTGACGGCGTTAGGTTCAGCTATGGAGCTGCTGGCGTGAAATCCGGCCGGCAGGGGGGTAGGCCTTCGTCAGCAAGCGCCGGCCAGCTGGTCCACCATCATGGTGGCAAGGCACAGCCGGGTAGGACAGGATGTGAGGTCAGAACCCCCCGGGGTGGAGGTGTTGTGGCAGGAGCTTGGCCTTACCCTGCAGGTGTGTGAGGTGGGGGGTGCAGGGAAAAAAGGGGGTCCCTGTCCTAACCCCCAGGGCAGGTAACTGAATGAGTGTATCTGTGTTTAATACTCACCCTCCCCCCAGCTGGGCCCAGATTGGCTCAGGGCCAGCGATCGTCAGCCTTGCTAATTAACCGGGGAGACATGCTCCATTTCAGGGGGGTTGGTAGGGGGGGACAGGTTCGTACATCTGCCTCCTAACCTCCCTCGTATCAGCAGCCCCCCCTTATAGTTGGTGGCCCCATGCCCATGTTGCCTAGCGACCCCCGCTTCTCAGCACTCCCCGGGGTGCAGCGACAAGCGCAGCCGGCCACTTGGCATGGGCACACTGGCAGCCAACTGCCTGCAGTCAAATGCAACCATTGCATTTTACGCAGCAATAAAAGAACCTCTCAGATCTCACTTAAAATAGGTGTGTGTGTGTATGTGCGAGTGGGTATACCTTACCTTATGGGGACACAATGTCCCCACAACGTGATAAATATATAAATATCCTAAAACTCTATTTTCTAAAAATCCATGACTGCAATGAAAAAACTAAAAATGCCAAAAGTCTTGTATTTTGTTTGGTTACTTATGGTTATGGTTAGGGCTGGGTAGCAGGGCCGTGCAGAGACGTTTAAAGGGGCGGGTGCTCAAAGTTAAAAAAGATAGAACAGGCTGAATAACAA